TGTGTGCGGCGGCGGGCGCGGCCCCGCAGGAGGCCGTGCTGCGGCGGCTGCGGGAGCCCGGCGGGGCGCGGGCCCGCCTGGACCTGACGGCGCAGAGCCTGTCGCTGCAGACGTGCGGCGCGCTGGGCCGGCTGCTGCCCGGGGCCGCGCCCTTCGCCGCGCTGGCGCTCGGCGACTGCGGCCTGAGCGAGGAAGGTGCGCGCGGGACTCGCGTCGGGGGTGCCCCCGCCGCCCCCTCAGGCCGGGCCGGCGGAACGGGCCCGGCCCCGCGCTCTGCCGGCGGCGAGCGGGGCGCGGCGGGAGGTCGCTCGTGTCTGGGGGCGGTGAAGGCGCCCGGTCTGTGACAGTGTGGGTGGTCAAGCGCCCCTCGGTTCCGTCCCTCTTCGAAGGCGGCTCTGCTGTTGTTGGCCGTGGACGGAAGGGACAGTCCGGCTGGTTAAAGCCGCCGGCAGTGAAGGCGCTCCCGGGGCAGCACAGCCGTGGCTGTGGGGCCTCTCCAGGCGTGGGCTGAGCTCGGGGCTGGGTCACGCAGGTGCACAAGCTCCCGTGCAGAGCTCTGCCCAGACACCTCTTTGAGACCGTGTTAACAGTCTCCTGCCCCAAAAACTCAGGCTCACGCTTTCTAGCAGCAGTGGTCGTTTACCTGGTCATTCGTTTCTCGAAGCCACGTCTCCTGAGCTGGCTGTTTGACAGGACGACATACTCTCGGCTCAGGCAAAGGGTTCCACAATGAAATAAACAGCTCTTTTTTTTCTCACTCAGGTGTAAAACTTCTGTTGCATGGTCTTTGCTCCAACACCACAGTCAAATCTTTGGATCTGAAGGTGAGTGTTCAAATAGAATTAGGATAAAGTGGTGGACGAGAAAAAAGGAGCACAGGCTTAGTCAGAGTTAGAACTGGACAGTTCTGGTGCAGGATTGTTCAGAAAGATGCATACTTCTGTAAGGATTTTGTTCTCAAGTGACTTGTTCCTTGTGTCGTGTCCTTAACACCATGTCACAGCGTTCCAAAGTTACTTTGCAGATCATCTTTATCCATTTTTATTTGGTTACTCTGTTTTGATAGGAAGTTATAGCTATATATCTTTTTGTCCATTGCTGCTTAGTCAGATGAGGCATATGTAGGGGTTTCTTTGTGTCTCTGTATTGATCAGTGAGTTACTAACTGACTTGTGCTTCTGTAGAATTTATCCAGCTTGCCAATGCCTTTTGGCTGGCCTGGCCTTGGTGCTGGGCACCTGCCTTCAGGTGTGATGGTCACTCTACTGAGAGTGACTTTCTGTCTGTATTCCTCTGACATACAGCTATTCTCTTGGATATACAGTCGCAAACTGTGTCACACCTTTCTTTCTCATTTGTGCTAGTGCTAACCGAGCCCTTTTTAATGAAGTATATCGAAATGGTTCTGCTTATCTAGAATCACCATTTTCTGTCCCATTGTGGCCCATGATGATCCTGTGCTATCCTGTGATTTTTGCAAGCTCTTGGTCATGGTGCCTCACAAGACCAGAGGTGTGTATGGATCCACTGTTCCTTCAGGGCTTTTAATTTTGTGGAAAGCTGACTGATACGTGAAACAAATGGTGGTTGGACTATCTTCATCCAACTGAAATTGGCACTACAGCTGGGGTGCACCTGGTGGTGTTTGATGGGGTAGGCGGACTGGGACAGATGTAGCCTACTCATCACCTGGGACTTCTGTTTCAGGGAAATAACCTACGAACTGTGGGAGCCGAGGCTTTGGGAAAACTTCTTAGGCAGAACAAATCCATCCGGAGGTAAAAAAATTGTGTCTACCTCTCTTTGTGTTATTCCTGTTAGATGGAGCACAACAGTTGAAAAGGGCTGAGGGTGTTTTTTATTGGGGTAGGAGGAACATCGAATGGTACAATTTCTTGTGACGGGTGGGAGAGGTGAAGGAGTGAGAACTGGAGGTGCCCTTTCAAAGGATGCCAGGTCATGGCAGCATCCTGCTCTCTGAAACCAAGTCTGTTCGTGGAGCTGGGTGTTTGACTGGGTACCATGATCCACATATCATTCAAGCTCATGCAGCTGTCCATTTACTCCACAAACTCCAATCCTGTCTGATTTTCCTAGCCTAACCTTAGAATGGAACAGCCTCGGCATGTGGGAGGAAGGCTTTTCCTTTTTCTGCCAAGGACTGGGAGCAAACAACTTTCTCCAGCGGCTGGATCTGCGCAATAACCAGATTAACCATCAAGGGGCTGGAGAGCTGGCCGTGGCACTGACACAAAATGCCAGTCTTCAGGAGCTGGGTAAGAGTTCTTTGCCCGTGTACATTACGCATGCACACACGCACATATGTATCTTCAGGTTCCTTGCAGGCTGCCCTGACTTCTGGCAACTGGTTGGTGTCGTTCCCAGTTCCTGTCGGTCTGGAGTGCATTGCTGTCTTTGTGCAGGGAAAGGTCGCAACCCCATGGTCTTTGGAGAATGGCAACTGTAGTTGGAATTTCTGGATCCAAACCTGCAGCTGAAGAATTGTGTAGTTGGAGCAGAACAGTCCTTAGCAGAGGAGGGAGTGTGTTCATTCCTATCTGTAGATGCTGTTGGCGTGCCTCGTGACAGACTCTGAGACTTAGTTCACACTTGCTTTGTCCTTATATGGAATTTTGCTGGAATTTCCTTCAGGAGAACATGGCTTTTGTTGCGAGTTCTTTCTCATCCGCAGATTTTGGCTGTAGAAGGAAGGCTCACAAGAGGCAGACTCGTGTAGATTTTGAACTGTTGTGCCTTTCTGCACTTTAAAGAAGATGTATCTACCTTTCCTGCTTTGTCTATTACTTTCTCTCCTTCTCAGTCATCTTGAAAGGGGAGACAGTGTTCACCTGTGTTTATGCTAAGACCATCTGGGATTAGTTAGCCACGCTTGTAGATGTATAAAGAGCATGGGGTTTCTTGGGCCTTGTGTTTTTCAGCAGATGTGTGACTACCATGGTGAAAGTTTGCTTTGTGTATAGATTTGCGATGGAATAATATTGGGCTTCTGGGTGGCCGAGCTTTGCTGAACTGCCTGCACAGAAACAAGTCGCTGAAGAGGCTGGAGCTGGCAGGGAACAATGTTCCTGGTGACATCCTGAAAGCTGTGGGTAAGTACGATGTGTTGTGCAGTAATGAGTCACTAACTCCTTTCCCACTTCAGCACTTGAGAGAAATAGGGCACTTGCTGCTCCAGAAGAGAGCTATTCCTCCTTTCCTCCCTTTCTCAACAGCATTTCTACAGGAAGCCCTACATTGCTTCCTCTTGTCCTTTAGTGAGAGCTGGTCAAATTGGAAGTGTCACTTTGACTAGCAAGAGCAAAAAAATAATTTGGATTGAGTCAGAGATTACTGTGCCATGGGAATGTGGGAGAACTTGAGATTAGTTTGCCTCTGAGCAGCCAAGTTTTGATGTGGCTTGTGCCGGGCTGTTGTTGTCCTGCCCACAGCAGAGTTGAACAGCTTTTCTATCCCTGGGATGTTGATTACCCAATACACAGTGCTCTCTTAGATCTCATCCCACCTGGTGGTGTAAGGTGAGAGGTCTCTACAAGGGCCAGCCTGAGAAGGGAAGCTTCCCTGGTGCTTCTGATAGCCAGGTGTCATCCTGAGCGCTGTTTCTTCCAGCAGTGCTTGCTGTTCTGTTGCTTTAGAAACTTGTGCATGCTCTCCTGCTCTCTGCATCAGAACAAGCCTTGGATCACAACCAAGACCGTGAGGCTATCCTGAGTGAGGCCCAGAACCAAGTGTACATCCTCAACAAGGAGGTCTTGAATCTGAAGGATGAGAAGAACAAGCAGGTCAGCAATCTTACATGTTGGCAATTCAAGTAGGGCAGCTGGAATCCTTTGCTTTCCCTTGGAGCCCCAGAGAACACTCAGTGACAGTAATATTGTGCACCTGAAGTTGCACGTGCATTTTTATGGGCAGGCACACAGCATGGTTTGAGTACATTGGATCCTTCCTCTGAGCTGCATTGACCGGGAATCAGGTCAAATGACAAGTATGGGTATGGACACATCCCTGCTGAACATATTCACTCTGGATTCTGCAGGAGTTGTGGTGATTTTTTTTAACCCACATTCATACTTTTCAGTTCTTTTGCAGCTATTTTGATATGTTCCAAGTGGTATAAACCTAGAGATCTGAGTCTGTTTTCCTTCTGGCACTGCAGGGTGCAGAGTCCCTATAGCTGATAATCTCATTCAGATGTGCTAATAAATGCATCAGACCTCCAGTTTGCTTCCAATAGTAGCTTGACCTGTCTTCAGCTGTTTCTGGGAAGAGAAGCATGAGAAGTATACCTGTTTTAAGCTGATGCAGTTCATTTTCTCCCTGAATTTTGCCCTGTTCACAGTTCTTGGATTTTATGGACACTGTAGACAAGCAGAAAGAAGAAAAAGCCAAGAGTGAGAGGTGGGTTGGATTTCTAAATGCTTTCTGCTCTTCAGTGGCAGAATTGAGCCCTCTCCCATTTGCTGTGAGAAATTACCCACCTTTTTGTTTTCTTTCTTTTTTTTGTCTCCGAAATGCAGAGTGTCCGCAGCACGAGTCAGCCAACTGCAGGAAGCATTGGATGAGCAGCACTCCATTA